AGCTGTTGCCTGCGGAGGCAGCTCTTCTCCGAGGGGCTCCGCAGCACGTGCCGGGCCGCTCGCCCGCCCGCCCGCCGCCTCCCGCCCGGGGTCGTGATTCAGCGCAAGGAAACGGCTGCTTCGGGTCACTGACGGATCTTTGTGCTTGTTCCTCCCAAGTACGAGCGGGGTTCAGCCACCAACTACATCACCAGGAACAAGGCCCGGAAGAAACTGCAGCTGAGCCTCGCAGACTTCAGGTAAGAAAAGGGGAGGGGGGTTGCCAGGTGAGCTTGGCTGTCCAGGTTGTCTGTCTGCCTTGGAGGCTGAATTGCTCTATTCAGAGGCAATGTGATTTGCAGTAGGGGCAGCTGTACGAGCCTCTCATGCATGTGCTGTAGTTCTCCCTCGCAGGGGCTTGCCTCCAGGGATGAAAAAATAAGGTACCTGTCTTACTTATTAGATCCACGGGCATTGTTCATTGCACCCATTGTATTCGGTTTTTCATAGATGTTAGGGTCGGAAGGGACCTCAATATATCATCGAGTCCGATCCCCGGTTTGTTGAGGCTGGCGGTGTACAGAGTTCCTGTTAATCAAACGAAGGCAACTCTTTTTGATCACTACCTTTAGGCCTGATCTAGCCCTGTTACAGTGAAGTGTGAGCACCTTCTTCCCTTTAGGTTTTCAAGCCAACTATTGTGTGCGCTCTCTGAAATCTGCATACCTGCTCGAATTGTCTTGAACGTTGTTTGCTAAGGGCACTGGGTAGGATTAGTGTTTTGATTTTGGAGTTCTTTGAACAAGGTGTTTTCAGGGTAGAGACCTGTTGAAATGAACTGTTTTTTAAAAAAATGTCTGATTTCAGCATGTTACTTTCCACAAATACCCAAAATACGGATTGTAGTTCTGAACTTCCCCCAATCAGTGTCTTGTATAGGGCTGATGTCAGCTAGTGCAGAGCAGCTCCTGTTACTCTGAGGAGGCAAGACTATAGAGTAGGGGCAGGCAATTATTTCAGACAGAGGGCTGCTTACTGAGTCTTGGCAAGCTGTCAAGCGTAGTGTGGGTAGTCCCGCCCATTCTCTGGTGCCCCGCCCCCTGGTCACCATCTTGTGACTAAGTCCCTCCCCTTGCCCCAGTAAGTACTCCTTTCAGAAATAGGTTTTGTCATCTCGGTACCAGAAAAATACCAAACTATATTTAAAAAATTCATTAATTTTATTTCAAAAAATATTTTTGTCCTGATTTCCATGCGTTTGTGTTGTGTATGTAGAGCTGATTGCACAATAGCTTAAAACGAAGTCTCGCTTTTGTATGTTGTGGGGGAGTACAGGAGTGGGAGGCATCGGGGGTAGGGGTATAGGTTTGTGGGGGACTGTGAAGGTGGAGGGAAGGGGTGGGTGTTCTGGGGGTTGTGGGGGTATAGGTGTGGGATGAGGGAGCACATGGGCTGTGGCTGGGTATGGGGTTTGTAGGGGGATGTGTGAGAGGGGAAGGTGAGTGGGGGGAGTATGGGGGTCTGCGTGTATGGGGGGTGTGTGGGTACATGTGTATGGTGGGGTGTTTGTGTGGGACTTACCCTATGATCACGAATGCCCACACACTCTCCCGCTCCTGGCCCCGGTACTTGGAGTGGTGGGCAGGAAAGCAGGGAAATAGCAGCTACAGGTGGGGGGAAGGGGCAGCAAGTGGGCATGCAAGAGCACAGCAACAGCTGGGCAGGAGTGCAGACCTGTACCGGTGCCCCAGGGCCAGCACTGGCGGGGCCCAGAAGGGGACAGTAGGAACATGACACCCCCGGCCCCTCCTCTAGCAGAGCCGGTGCCGGACCCTGCACACCTGCCACCTCCCTCTGGACCCTGCTGGCCCTGGGGCACCAGTGCAGGCCCTGTGCTCCCACCCAGCTGTCATTGAGCTTCCACTTGCTGCCATTTCCCTGCTTTCTTGCTGGCTGCCGGCTGCTCCAGCACCCTGTGACTCCCAGCTTCATGGCTGGACTACGGGACTCGGCAGGAGCTGCCTGGCCCCAAGGACTGAGGCGATTGCCCATGGTCTTCCCCTGCCTCCCCCTTCTTCCCCTTATCGCAATTTCCCTCTGGCACAGGGAGGCAGCAACAGCCCCAGGGACCCAGGCCAGAAGGCTCTGCTAAGCACAGGGCTTCTGGCTAGGTGCGGGCTGAGCATATTGTGCGGGCCTTGCTTTTGGGCT